TTAATATATTATAAATTAGAAATATAATAATATAAATTTTTACATATATTTATAATTAATTTAAATAAAAACTTATATAAATTAATATTTACATAAATACTTTTAATTGATTAATTAATTAATTTAACGTCAATATTTATATTTTTTATATAAATTAATTAAAATTAAAAAATTACATATATTATACATTTTATATATTAAAAAACCCATTAAAAATTTAAAAACACTACATACATTTTAACATGGAGCATGCTCGAACTTGTGCCTCCTCCACGATGGGCAAGGTTACAAACCAGTTGATCCACCGGACCTGTTCTGTAAAAGTACTACACAACATTATATTTATTCATTTGGAATGACCCGACGGTTTGAACGGTTGAACCGGTTAAACCAGCTAAACCGAGAACCAGAGGTCAAAATGGTTTAACCTCCGGTTCGGTTTTTACAACTTTGGTTAGCACTGAGATTGAGTGCTCGGTTTTATGCGAGTGAGGTAAGTAAATTTATGGTAATGCCCGTATAGTTTTTAAAAGCATGTTTTGATTTGTTTTTGAAGTGGTGGCAGGACTAAACCCGTTTTACACGAGCACGACTAATTTGAAGTGAAATTTTTATGCTTTTCGTTAAATTGAGCATGCCTACTTGAAATTTAATCGATTGTCCTGATGATTTGAAAGTGATTGGTGGATTATGATTTTTCTATTAACTTCTACCTGTTTTGCCTCCGATGTGGTCATGTTATTAGTGACCCTGCTAGTAGGGGAGGTTATAAACGTTAGCACATGTCGACATGTTAGTGATAGAGCCGGTTCGTTTAGTGGCCCTGCTAGTGGGGATTATACACTAGTAAATCGTGTGCCCGCCAGTGGGAGGTTTATAAACGCTGGCCATGACCTATAGAGGAGACGTCTATTTTGTTTCCGTACCCATATCGGTTTTTCGTGATTGTACTTGTTGGCATGCTTTAAGTTTAATAAGGGCACTCCATATTTATTTACTGAGTTTATCTCATAGTTTTCCTTGTCCACCATTTCAGGAAGTGAAACCGAGGACGGGGAAACCACGGGAAGTGACGAGTTAAAAGGCTAGCCATATTGTAATTGGATATAAATTTTAGATATGAATCATGATCTTGTATTTGGAGATTTTATGATATCAGAGTAAATTTTAAAGATT